ATTTTATTTTTAAATTTTATTTTATTCTGATTTAAATGCTGCAGAGGCCTGGAAGGCATCTGGGCTTTAAACCATCTTGAAAAACAGATCCTTCAGGCAGCTGTTGAGGACAGATCATGAGAATGCAGCTGAACCATGATGAGGGTTATTAAATTGTATTGCTTGTTCAGGACTTAACACTTCCATCATTGTAGCTGGTTTTTGGTTTTGTTTTATTTTATTTTAATTAAGCTGAGATAAAGTTGAAACCCAAAGATATAAAATGTCTGAGTCCTTCAGGCTCTCCAGAAAACAGCCTGATGAAGCTCTAAAGCCAGAAATCCAGAAGATGCAGCAGCTGACACTTTCTGAATGGGATTTTATTTCTGTCCCAGGAACCTTGCACCCTCCATGTGCCAAACACTCAGCCCTGGAGCTCTCTGCATCGTCTGGGTCGAAACAGACACGACAGAGAGAGTGTTATATTTATCATAGAATCATAGAATGGTTTGGGGTTGGAAGGGACCTTAAAGCTCATCCAGTCCCAACCCCCCTGCCAGCAGCAGGGACACCTTCCACTAGACCAGGTTGCTCAAAGCCTCATCCAACCTGGCCACAAACACTTCCAGGGAGGAGCAGCCACAGCTTCTCTGGACAACCTGGGACACTGTCTCACCACCCTCACAGTGAAGAACTTCTTCCTAATATCTCATCTAAACCTCCCCTCTTTCAGCTTAAACCCATTTCCCCTTGTTTTGTCATTAACTGCCCTTATGAAAAGTCCCTCCCCAGCCTTCCTGGAGCCCCTTCAGGTATTGGAAATTATTCACCTCTCTAGGGGCTGTCACATCATTATCTGGCTGCAGCAATTCTAGTTGAATCTTTGAGGAAATGAGGCTTTAAAGTCTTCTCCCCCCACTACCCCCAGTGCCTGTTCTCCTCTCAGGGGCCGTGTTAATGTCACTTTCAAGATCTCAGATGACGCTCAGGGAAACTCACAGCACGTCATTTGATTAAATGCTCCTTAAACTCTGTGATCTCTGGCTTCTTCTCCATCGCCAGAACTTCTCTCTTGTCATTGCTGGTCTCTGCTGAAATTTGCCAACCAAAGGGACCCAAGTTCCTCTCAGATTTAGCCTGTGGGGTTTGTGAAGGCAGAGGAGTCTTAGCCAAAGGCAGGCTGAGCTTTCACATCTCCAGGGCTCAGCCCTGCCTCTTCCTGCAGCCCTACGTTCACTAGGAGCATTTCTTAGCTCTGTTTGCATCTTCCCCGCTGAGTGCTGAGCTTCTGTGTCCATGCTTGGAGCATCCTGGGGCACCCAACAAACATCCCTTCAACTTCACTTGCTTCCCACATCAGTAGGGGCAGCTGGTCAGGGTTGTTTCTTAATTTGCTGCCAATTTTAGCCAAATGACCAGCAAAACAATACCTAAATCAGTGCTCTCGACTCATTCTCTTCTGCCAGCTACCACACTCCCCGTGGGTTTTGCCCTTTCTCCTTTGGTTCCCTTTTTTCCTCACCACAAGCAGCAGCCCCATGACATTAGACACATGGGCTGAATGTTGGGATTGTCCTGTGCAGGGACAGCAGTTGGACTCCATCATCCTTGTGGGTCCAACTCCCAACATTCAATGATTGTATGATAATCCCTTCCCCAAAATAATTTCCCCTGCGGTTGGTCGTAAGAGGTTTGCCCTCTTGCCTGTCACAATTGCTCTGCAAAGTGGCTATTAACTCTGGCAGCTGCTGGTCCATGTGCTCTCAGGTCTGTATCACTCTGTAACCTCTGATCCAAGTCAGTCTTGCTGAGCTTCACACTCCTCCAACCAAGAACCAGAGCTCAACAGCACCGAGTACAGAGGGAAAACCGCGGCGGGGAATGGTTGCGGGCGCGGAACGCGTCCCTCCCTCTGAGCAGCTGGGAGCTCTTCACAACCAAGGTGCTTTTTGTGGTTCTCTTCCCCTGATGTGCAGCTCGCTCCACCCTTTCTCTGAGCTCTGCAGGAGCTGGCATCTGTTCTTCCTGCTTTGAAACTTCCCTCCTCCAGCCATTCCCCAGGTGCGACCCTCCAGCTGCGCGTCTTCCAAACGGGGAGAGAGAGCGAAGCGCACCTCAAGCGCGCGGCGTCCCTGGCGCCTGCCTGTCTGCGTCAGAGCTGGCCGCCCTGTAAATCCTTCACGTCTTGTCAAGCAGCAGCATAAACCTCTCCACTCCAGTCATAAATTCCTCTTCTTGCAGCTGTCTGGGAACGAGAGAGGCTTTTGCAACCTCCCCTTCTCCTTCCCATCCTCCCCTCTCTACGCACACGCATGCACATGAGTTTTCTCGTACGTCTTATCTTCATTGTCAGGTCTGAGTTCCTCTGCTCCAGGGGAGGAGTTGGATTGGGTGCTGACACTCTTTATGCCACCCCTGCTTTTTGATGCCCAGGCCAAATGGTCTGTCTGAAGCCATCAGCTGTGGTGGGACAAGTGGTTTCACTGTAGCAGGGACAAGTCTAAGATCATAGAATCATAGAATGGTTTGGGTTGGAAGGGACCTTAAAGCTCATCCAGTTCCAACCCCCCTGCCAGCAGCAGGGACACCTTCCACTAGACCAGGTTGCTCAAAGCCTCATCCAGCCTGGCCTTCAACACTTCCAGGGAGGGGGTATCCACAACTTCCTTGGGCAACCTGGGCCAGTGTCTGGAACAGTGTCTTTGTGCTCCCTCACAAGGGGATGAGAGATGGGGAACGTGCTCTGTGGGTCACAGCTTGGGACTTGATATCTGGACTTATTTCTCCTCCAGATCTTGTCCTTGCTCTGCTGCGTGTCCATCCCTCCCTTACTCCAGTCTCTCCTTCCTGGCGTCCTCATTAGTGATCTCTGACAAAAACTTGCTGCAGGGGATGTTTTAGGAGACCTTTTCCAGCCAAAATCCTCATCCATTTCCACTGCCTGTAGCCTTGGGGAAACGAAGCTTAACACTCCAAAGTCAGCTCGGGATGGATGATGGTAGATCCCTGCCTGGGTCAACACCGTGTCATCCACGGGGCCGTGTGAGCACAGACCAACCTCTTTGTCTCTCCCCAGGTGTCCTGCAGCTCCTCCAGTCGAGGACTTCTCGCAAATTCCTGGCGTGTCGCCTCACTCCTGACATGGAAACCAAACTGCTTTTCATGACCTCACGGGTAATTCCTTCACGTTCACCGGGGGAGGACACTCATCCCTGCCCAGTCCACCGTGCACCAAGTCCCATTCCCACGCTGGCACTGGGCACAGGGAGGGAGGGCAGAGCACTGATGTGGGCAAAGGGCAAGAGCTTTACTGGTGCAAGTATTTGTTGATTCTGGCATCTAATGGTGACAGGAGGAGGAGAGGCTGCCCAGCAGGAGCTGATGTAGATGGGCCTGAGACATCCCTGGTATTCATTAAAAGGCACAGAACAGCTTTGCAGGGGAACGTTGCTCCTGGCCACTTTCCAAGGCCAGAGCTTTCTCTGAATGGCCGCGATGCGGTGGGTTATCAGAGCTCTGACAGCAGCAGCCGTCAGATTCGAGAGAGGCCAGGAGCTGCGTGGTGACAGCCCGGGGGTTAAACCCTTATCTGTGTTCACACAGCAGGCAGAACTCGCTTCCCCCGGGCTCTGCCTCCAGCCCGGCTGCTCGCAGGGACTGTGCTGTGCCGTGCACGCGGGGCGTGTGGTCCCGTCTGCTCAGCTGGAGACAGGTCCTGTGTGAGACCCTGCACAATGGCCTTTTTGCTGCCTCCTTCTCTCTGAAGACACTGCTGGGGCCCATGAGGAGGATCATAGAATCCCAGACTGGTTTGGGGTTGGAAGGGACCTCAAAGCTCATCCAGTTCCAACCCCCCTGCCAGCAGCAGGGCCACCTTCCACTAGACCAGGTTGCTCAAAGCCTCATCCAACCTGGCCACAAACACTGCCAGGGAGGAGCAGCCACAGCTTCTCTGGCCAACCTGGGACACTGTCTCACCACCCTCACACCAAAGAATTTCTTCCTCACATCTCAGCTCCATCTCCCCTCTGCCACTTTCAAGCCATCACCCCTTGTTCTGTCACTCCCTGCCCTTGGCCAAAGTCCTTCCCCAGCCTTCCTGGAGCCCCTTCAGGTACTGGGAGGCCACTAGAAGGTCTCCCCAGAGCCTTCTCTTCTCCAGGCTGAACAGCCCCAACTCTCTCAGCCTGTCCTCACAGCAGAGCTGCTCCAGCCCTCGCATCATCCTCGTGGCCTCCTCTGGACTCGTTCTAGCTGCTCCATGTCTTTCTTGTGTTGGGAGCAGGATGTGAAGCAGAATTTGCTGAAAGAGTCAGCTCAGAGGATGACAGACCGTGGTTCTAGCAGCCTTTCCTTGAGCCTTGAGCAAAACTCCCACCTTTCCCTTTCCCTTCAGGTCCGGTTTGGCCAGCAGAAGCGGTACCAGGACTGGTTTCAGCGACAGTACCTGTCCACCCCAGACAGCCAGTCCCTGCGCTGTGACCTCATACGTTACATCTGTGGTGTGGTCCATCCCTCCAACGAGGTGCTCAGCTCTGACATCCTCCCACGTTGGGCCATCATAGGGTGGCTGCTCACCACCTGCACGGTGAGTTGTGGGGGTCAAATCCAAAAGTGAGTCACGTCACCCTTGTGGGGAGGGGGTGACCTGCTGGAAGCTGCTGTGGAGGTTGGGATTAGGTATTTGCTGGCTAGGCTGAAGGAGGGAATTGCAGAGCAGTGCTTAGGACATCAGCCTCTGTTCTTTGCACTGGATTTTAGTCCTGACTAAACAGGCTAAGCTCAAAAATTTCCCACCTTCTCTGAAAAGCAGCAGCAGGTGCCCAGGGAGGGTTTTGCCAGCTCTACCCCATCCTGTTGGTGGGAAGAGCATCAGCAGCCCCTGCCTCGCAGCAGCAGAGCCCGGCATGTCGGGCGTGCAGGGAGGATGAAGGCTCAGCACTGTATTCATCAGTTAATTTGGTTTTGGTTTTGGTTTTTAATTTTCTAGTCCAATGTTGCTGCTTCAAATGCCAAACTGGCCCTGTTCTACGACTGGCTCTTCTTCAACCCCGAGAAGGACAGCATCATGAATATAGGTACTCCACGGGGAAGTCTGAGTGGGCAAGGGTTGAAGAAGGGGTTAATGCCCTCCAGAGCTGGTAGAGGTAGGGGGATCTAGGGGAAAAAACCCAACAGATCATTTCCAAGGGCATCAGTTCCCTCCCTTGCCCTGAACTCCTCAAATTTCTTGGTGTGCAGGAGAGCTGCTTTGATGGAGCCACTTTTAATTGAGACTTTCCTTCCTGTGGTCTTCCTTGAGGTCCATGGCTGGGCCCCAGAGTGTCTCTCCCTGTGGGCAGGCAGGGTTGTCCCAGGGCTCAAGGCACAAGAGCAAGGTATGATACAGCCAGGGGCATTTCTGGGAGCTCCTGCCCACAGGGAAGTTAATTCTAGGCGTTTCTTTGAAGCCTGAATGTTATTTAGGAGCTGGATGAGGGCAAGGGTGTGTACAAGCCAAAAGAAGGGGGTTCCCTCTGTGCCTGAGGGGCAGAAGCTGGGGAGAAGAGGGCAGGTATGGGCATCTCTAGGGCTCTCAGCACAGGGCTCCTTGCTCTCTCCTTCCAGAGCCTGCCATTCTGGTGATGCATCACTCCATGAAGCCTCACCCTGCCATCACCGCCACGCTGCTGGACTTCATGTGCCGGGTGAGCTGTCCTTTGCTCTCCAGGGAATTCCTTGGCTTGCCACATGAGTTGTATGATGGGGGAGGGTTGAGGGATGAGGGCTGTGAAAGCGATCGCTGGGGTCTGCATGGTCCCTCTGCCACCAGCGGGACAGAGACTCCTCAGGAATGTCAACAGAGGACAGTGTAGAGGGAAACAGCCACGCTGTCATCTGCTGAGGGAACTGGGGGTGTTGAGCCTGGAGAAAAGGAGGCTGAGGGGAGACCTTCTGGCTCTGTCCAAGTCCCTTGGAGGAGGGTGGAGAGAGGTGAGGGTCAGTCTCTTCTCCCAGGCAACAAGCAATAGAACAAGAGGAAATGG